CAACACACACAGCTCAACACAACACCCCAAAATGCTGTGTCCACAACACGCCCCGACACCCTCCCACACACAACCGACAGAACACACACAACTTGGCACGAACACCCCCCCAAAAATGGACCCACAGCGCACTCCGACCTGACACAACACACACAACCCACAACTTGACACACACCCCCCCCAAAAAAAGGACCCACAACACCCTTTGACACAACACAACACCCACCCCCAACCCCCAACTTGGTACAAACGACCCCAAAATGTTGCACCCACGACACCCTTTGACGTGACACGACACACACAACACACAATTTGGCATAAAATCCCCCCCAAAAATGGAGCCACAAACACCCTTTGACACGACACAACACACAGAACACACAGTTTGGCACAAACACCCCCAAAATGTTGCACCCACAACGCATTTTTGACACGAAACAACACACAGAACACACAGTTTGACACAAACACCCCCAAAACGTTGCACTCACGACACTCTTTGATGTGACACAACACACAACTCCTCACCCCTTCCCCTCCTTTCACCCTTTTCACCCCCCAAAAGGGATTTTTCTTGGGAAAAACACCCTCCCCTTCCCCCCTTTTTCCCCTTTTCCCCCCTTTTTTCCTTTTTTTGGCCCATTTCCTCACCTCATTTCTCCAGAAAAACAATAAATCCCCGCCCATTTTGTCCTCCCCCCACCTCCCCACCTTGTAAATTTGGGGTGATTTCAACCTTACCGGCAATTGTTTAAAAATAATCCCTATTTAGTCATTCCGACCTTTTATTTTTTTTTTGCCATTTACATCATCCCCCATCCCTGGGGGATGCTTTAACCAAAACAATGTGTTTTTTCCCCAAAATTCCCCTTTTTTCAAGCCAAAAATTATGTCAAAGCTTTGGGTGGGTCAATCCCTCGGGGTTGTCTGTTATTTGTCATTTTTATGATTTTTTTTTTCCCCTTGTTCTGCCAAAAAATAATAATAAAAGGAGGAAGAAGAGGCAGCTGCCCCCAGGGTCACTCTCAGTGTTTGCATCGAGGATTTGAGGAGAAAACGGAGCTTTTTGGGGCCGGCAAAAAAACAGAGGGAGGTAAGGTTAAATAGACATATAAATAAATAGCATTTTTTGGCAGGAAAAAGCTCAAAGTACGAAAATATCTGGAAATTCCTCAGATATTCAACCCCCGACCCCGGGTTTGTTCCTGCAGGGGAAGAATTTGACTGTTTCTGAGGAGACTTTTTGGGGGGAAAAGGGGGAGAAAAAGGGAAAAGGGAGAGAAGAGGGAAAAGGGAGAGAAGAGGGAAAAGGGAGAGAAGAGGGAAAAGGGAGAGAAGAGGGAAAAGGGAGAGAAGAGGGAAAAGGGAGAGAAGAGGGAAAAGGGAGAGAAGAGGGAAAAGGGAGAGAAGAGGGAAAAGGGAGAGAAGAGGGAAAAGGGAGAGAAGAGGGAAAAGGGGGGGAAACAGGGGAAAATGAGAGAAGAGGGAAAAAGGGGGAGAAAAGGGAAAAGGGGGGGAAGTGGGAGAAAAGGCAAAAGGAAGAGAAAAGGAAAAAAGAAGAGAAAAGGGGAAAAGGGAAGAAGAGGGGAAAAGGGGGGGGAAAGGGGAGAAAAACGGGAAGTGGGAGAAAAGGAAAAAGGAAGAGAAAAGGAAAAAAGAAGAGAAAAGGAAAAAAGAAGAGAAAAGGAAAAAAGAAGAGAAAAGGGGAAAAGGGGGGGGAAGGGGAGAAAACAAGTCAAAATGGAAAAGGGGAGAGAAAAGGAAAAAAGAGAAGAAGAGGGAAAAGAGAGAAAAATGAGGGGAAATGGGGGAAAAGGGGGAGAAATGGAAAAAAGAGGAAGAAAATGGAAAAAAGGAGGAAGAAAAGGGAAAAGGAGAGTAAGATGGAAAAGAGGGGAAAAGGAGGAAAATGGGGGGAAATGAGAGAAAATGGGAAAAGGGGGAGAAAAGGAAAAAAGGGGGGAAAAGGGAAAAAGGGGGAAAAGGGGAAAAAGCAAATTGTTGTGAGGAGAACTTGAATTTTGTAAAAATTTGGAGGGGCCATGGGCAAACTTGAACACAATTTTTTAAAAATTTGGAGGGGCCATGGGCAAACTTGAACAGAATTTTTTAAAAATTCAGTGAATTTTATGTGTTTTTTCCCCTTTTCAGGCAAAAGGCCCATGGATGGGGGGAAGGAGGCCCATGGGTCACTGTGGGTCTGGACTGTCAGGATGTGGGGTAAGTTCAAACCCTTCAGAACCAGTAAAATTCCCCCCAAATATATGAATTTTCTCAAAATAAGATTTTTTGCCCAGCCCCAAACTGCCACATTCCATCAAATTAAAATTCCATCAAATCAAAACTCCATTAAATCGTAATTCCATCAAATAAAAATCAGTCAAATCAGGTGCCCATCCAATAAAAATTTCACCAAATCTGTCAAATGAAAAGTTCATCAAATCAAAATTCCACTCAATCAAAATTCCTTCAAATCAATCAAAATTCAGTCAAATCAACATTTCATCACATCAATAGTCCATCAAATAAAAATTTCATCAAATCAACAGTTTGTCACATCAAAAGTTCACCAAATCAAAAATTCCATCAAATAAAAATTCAGTCAAAAGTCTGTCAAATCAAAATTCCATCAAGTCAAAACTTCATCAAATCAAAACTTCATCAAATCAAAAATTCCATCAGTTCAAAATTCTGCCAAATCAAAATTCCACCAAATCAAAATTCCATCCAACGAAACTCCATCCAATCAGTCTCCTCCTCAAATCTAATTAATTTCAATTTTCATTTCAATTTTCATTTCTCACCAACTCCCTACCCCCCTT